GAGAAAGAGCTTTATTGCCAAGTGTGCTTACACACACACAAGGAATTTGTCTTGGCGACTGAACATTTCTACATTTGCTACATTTCTACAGTAATACCATATATATTCCAAATCTAAAAAATTTAATATTATCAAAACATTTAAATGTCAAATGTTTCCATTTCATTACCATTTTAAAAATAAGATGTAAATTCAATGCAACTTGATGTTTTTTGTTTGTTTGTTAAAATTGTTTGTAAATAGGAGAAGCGGCCCTATGGAGTCCTAAATTAAAACATCTGACACATAACAAATTATTAATGGTCTTCAGCATACAGTGAGCTTAATGTTCTTAATGCAAAATATAATTTATTAAAGATATTGTTGATTATGAGGTGAAATATGACCTAATTCTCTGCTTTGAACTGCTGAAACACTGTTTATCAAAGCACCTGCACCCTTCCCCTGATCATGAGCTGCAGTGCTGGAGGAGGAATCTGCATTAGCCAGCACACTGCTAGATGATGCTGACTAATGTAACATCCATCTACGACAAATAACAATCATCCCTGAGACTAAATTCACAACAGAGACCAATCTAGTAAAAACCAGCTCCATTATGTCAAATGTGATATAACGTTTGTAAACATGTCATTACTGTAAACAGCTCTATAATACTCGAATCACTGCATGTTTATCAGCGTGGATAACATCTGCAATCCGGACTCGGCAGTAAGTCATATCAGCGCACTTATTTACACGCACTGTTGTGGGTTTATATGTACCTGTTTTGTGCAGCAGTATCACGGGAGAAACGTCTTGTGCTTGTTCAAGTCCCGTTGCTTGCTTATGTCCGTCTGTGTTGTTTGTGAGTTACTACTACAGCTGCAGTGGTGACTATGAGTTTGAGCGCTCACAGCGCCCCCTACTGCTGTGGGGCGCTGCTGCCTAAAATCTAATGAAGGGCGCTTTCGAAGCTTTCATGAATCCCTCTGTTTTGAGTCAGTGTTTCTATGGCAAGCCGTTTTAACATTTAATCTATAAGCCGTACTAGTATCTATTTCCATGGTACTAGTATCTATTTTTTAGATACTAGTATCTTTTCCATTAAGTACTAGTACTTATTCATTAGGTACTAGTGCTTATTCTTTAGCTACTAGTGCTTATTCTTTAGGTACTAGTGTTTATTCTTTAGGTACAAATGTATTTTGTAAAGTTACTAGCACTTATTCGT